CTGTCACCCCGAGGAGGAACCCCATCAGAAACGCGTTGTTCCTGATGGTGTTCAGCTCCAGGCCTGAAGTGAGGATCCTGGACAAGAGATCCTCCATGGTCTGTGCCACGACCTCCCGGCTGGAGGCCAGGACCTCAGACAAGTTGTGATGGATCGAGCCTGGGTCCTGCAGGTCATCCATGCTTCCCGGGCTGGAACGGTTGCGGCTGGGAGGTTGCAGCAGCGTGGTCGCTCTCCCTTGCTCTGCCAGGCTGTCTGCTGCTCTCTTCTGGGACCTGATGACCACATGGATGCTGACCCCATTACGAACTCCATGCTGGCTCAACGTGTCCTGATCCTGGAGGACCTTCCCAGCAAACACCAGGACCAGCAGCTCGGGGGGTGTTTGGAACCGCTTGGACACTTCCTCCTTGAGCTCCCGGATGGTGCTGTCCTGAGCCACCTCAAACTGCTCCTTCTGCTTGAGGGTCTTCACGGTCACACTGATGATGCCCGAGGGCTCCATGGTGACAAGGGGCTGGCTCGGGAGCGGGGCCGAGCTCTGCTGTGCTGGAAGGCGCCGGCCACGGGGGGCAGCGGAGGCGCGGGGCCGGGGAGAGCTCACCCCGCAGGATCGTGCTCAGCGCTCCCGCCCCACTGCGGCCCCTGCCCAGGGCAGCGCCGCGGAGCCCCCTGTGACATCACACTGGAGCTGCGGGAGTGGGGCCAGGGGGGGCCACGGGAACGCTCGGGGGCTGGCGCAGCTCCTGCGTGGAGCCAGGCTGAGAACACTGGGGCTGTTGAGCCTGGAGAGGAGAAGCTGCGTGGAGACCTCAGAGCAGCTTCCAGTGTGTGAAGGGGGCTGCAAGGATGCTGGAGAGGGACTCTTCATCAGGGACTGCAGTGATAGGACAAGGGGTGATGGGTTCAGACTGAAACGGGAAGTTCAGGCTGGAGATAAGGCAGAAGCTCTTCCCTGGGAGGGTGCTGAGGCGCTGGCACAGGGTGCCCAGAGAAGCTGTGGCTGCCCCATCCCTGGCAGTGCTCAAGGCCAGGTTGGACACAGGGGCTTGGAGCAAGCTGCTCTATGGAAGGGGTCCCTGCCCGTGGCAGGGGTTGGAGCTGCATGGGCTTTAAGGTCCTTCACAACCCGAACCCTTCCATGGCTCTCTGCAGCCGAGGAGGCAGTTCTAAACCCAGGGAGCTGCTCTGCTCCAAGGGGGATGTGGCGGTGGCCAGGTCCTGGACCAAACTGCCCAGGTCACTGTGCCATGGTCAATGAATCACCAGCTCAGCCGTTAACATCCGCAAGGCCGTGCGTAATGGGCAGTAGCCGACGGATCGGGGCGATTTATGTCTCTGACGTGGTTAAACGTTACCTAAATAACCACAGGAGATGGAGCCAGAGCGTGCGCGCTTTGAATTCCACTTCCCGCTCTTGAGGGACCTTTCCATCCCCCTCGGCTCGGCTCTGGGCAGCTCTGGCCAGCAAAGACCCTTGCTGAGGACTTGGCTCTCCCCGGCGCGTGTGAGAAGTGAATGAGACCTCAGAGGCAGTGGGAGGGAAGCGGGCGTCAGTGGAGCCGCAGCGAGGAGCGGTCTGACCTCAGTGGAGGCTTGGGCAGGCTCCTCATGGTTACCAGCACTACAGAGCAGTCAACCCATTCCCCTTGGCCTGTCCCTCCATCCCTTGTCCCAAGCCCCTCTCCAGCTTTCCTGCAGCCCCTTCCGGCACTGGAGCTGCTCTCAGGTCTCCCCTTCAGGAGCCTTCTCTTCTCCAGGCTGGACAAGCTTCATGGATTTTGTCTCACCCTCCAGCACTTCCCAGGCCCAAAGGCTTCTTTCCATGGCCTTTAGCAGCACAGACGACACTGTGACCACTGCTGCAGAGCACCACAGAGCACCTGACACTTGCTTTGCCTTCATTACATCAAAAGAGGACCAAGAACCAACCCCAACTGAGCACAGTGGGATCAGAGCGCTCCTCTCTCCCCATGGGCTCCCTGTGGCACAGCTGGGACCCTGGTGGAGCATCATCCAAAGCGTTCCCTCCAAATGCTCCTTCCCTCAGTTCTCTGAGCATCTGCGGAGCCACCTCCACCAGAGCCCTCATCCCTGGCACAGCCCCTCTGAGGAGCAGGACTTGGCCTCCACCTCTGTCCAATTCTCTGCCTTTGCACCATCTACAAACCTCAGCAGCAGCGATTTTACCCTGGTTTCTGCAGCACTGGTAACAGCCAGAGAACCATCAGCCCCCACAGCCCACCAGTCCCTGCTGAATCCCACAGGAATGTATGGAGAAGTAGTTCTCAGAGGGGAGCAATCACTGAGAGAAGAGTTTGCAGTTCCCAGACTCCATCAGCATCTGATTTACTCATCATTTATTGATGGCTTTGCTACAGTGAGGTAGGTTTAATAATATTTGAAGGTAAGGAAACGCTCAGGGTTGTGCTCTGGCCCTAGGAAACTTCATCACCCACGTGTGGAGCTCAGCAGGAGATGAAATGAGATGATTCTGCAGCAGCTGAGCACCACAAACAGATCCTGATTGCCATTGATCCCACCCCTGCCCTTTCCACTCTTTATTGATCAAGTCTCATATTCACTTCACTGTTTCACTTGGAGCTGATGCCAAATGGAGCCGCCTCGAATTTCTCTGCAGACCCATTTTAAATGTAAGCACAAGTCAGAGACTTGTTCCTGTTTGTTTCTATCCTGGTTCTGCTGAGCCTGGGGTCATGGAATCATGGAATCCCAGAGCGGTTCAGGCTCCAATCCCCTGCCATGGAGCCAAGAGGGGACGAAGGAGCCAGGAGGCAATGAGGGCTCTGCTGGACCCGATGGTTTGTGGGCTCGGCCACAGTGACCGTGGGGTGTGGGGTCAGGATCCTGAGCAGAGGAAGCAGGGCCTGGTCTCCTCCAGTGGCATCACCATAAGTGGTGGGAAGGGGAACACACCGGGGCAGGATGATGGGGACTAGGAAGGACATGTGCTGCGGCTGCCAATGAGCCTCAGCACCCAGCACTAAGAGGAGATGATGGGTCTGGCCCCAGAGTGCCAGCAGCACCTGCCCTGCCTTAAGAAGAGCCCTTCCAGTGAGAATCATCAGGGGCACCTCAGAACAGCCCCGGTCATCACCTGCACCACGTGCACACACAGAGCTGGAGGCCAGATGGGCACGTGGAGTTCTTTGTGGTTCTGCACCACCACTGAAGCCAATGGTCCCACTGAGAAAACAGCTTCGTACCCGAGAACTTCCACTCCCCACATGGGTTTAAACATGCCTGCGGGTGCAGTCACTGCTGGAAAAGCTGCTGCAGCTCTCTGGAGCTTCCAGAGCTCTTCATTACTGGCACCCTTCAAAACACGGCTCATTTCTAATCAGAATCCCTGCCTTCATCTCCCTTCCCTCAGACGCCTCCTCCAGGGCACCACAGTGATCCTGAGCATCAGGGCTCCTCTCCTGCAGCTCCCACCCGCAGTGACGGTGCCTCGGAGCTCTCTGCAGCCCTCATGGCTCGAGCTCTTCCTCCAGCACATCAAGACTTTGTCTTTGTGTCTCCTCCCTCCAGACTCCGCTCAAAGCCCAGCCCAGAGGCCAGGAGCGGGCACCGCTCCGTCCATGAGCAGGTCCGACCCCTCCAGCACCGTGACTGGCGTTATCCTGCTCCTCCCCAGCCGTCTGAGGCTAAAACACATCGTGGGTTAGAACCAGCCCCAGAAAGGGCACCCGGGCCCAGAGCCACCAGCTCATCACATCCTAGAATCAGACTGGGTTGGGTTGAAGGGAGCTTAAAGCTCCTCCAGCTCCAGCCCCTGCCACGGGCAGAGACCCCTTCCACTGGAGCAGCTTGCTCCAAGCCCTGTGTCCAACCTGGCCTTGAGCACTGCCAGGGATGAGGCAGCCACAGCTTCTCCCTTCAACCCATTGCAGTGTCCCACCACCTTATGGAGCAGAATGTCCATCAGCACTGTGCTGTCAGGACGAGAAGACCAACAGGTCCCACTGAGCACATGCTGCCCAAGTCAGTGCCATGCGGAGCACGGGACAGAACAACCTCTGTGTTCGGCGATGGGAGGTGGGCAGGTGGGAGGGTGCTGTGGCTCTTCCATGGTCTTGAGGAGCTCTGGTCCAGCCCAGGCTGCAGGAACCAGAAGCCTTCTGACAGGTCTGTGGCTGCTGCTGTCAGTGTGTCGTCCTCCGTGCCCTAATCAAGCACCAAACCCCCCATGAAGCAGTGCAGAGCTCACCCCCCTTCCACCAGAGATGTGGAACTCTGACAACGTCCCCTGAGGTCTCCAGAGCTGCCTCTGCTCCCACAGGTCCTCATGAGCATGGAGCAAGGTGCGTGGGACACTCCAGCAGTGCTCAGTGCACCAAGGTTTGAGCCCTGCTGCCCTGGTCACTCGTGAGCTCCACCAAAGCAGAGGCTTTGGTCTGCATGGACAGCGCTGCTGGGGAGGGAGAGGTGAGGAAAAGCCGCTCCTTGCTGGTCACGTTGATGATGATGTTAAACTCAGACCCTATGGCAATGCCCAGATGTCCCTGCTGCTCCTCCCGCCGTACCTCAGTGCTCCCTCTCCATGTCTGAGGCAGGTTGTCACTGACCTCAGGGAGGAGGTTATTGGTGCACCCGGTGTATCCGTCAAGCAGAGAACAAGAAACTGAGTTCAGGGAAGCTGTTTGGTGTTGGAGCGACAAAGCAGAGGGTGATCCCACACCACACACCAGACATGGGCAGAAACGGATCCTGAGGAGGAACAGGCTTCACCCTGAGCTCAACACTGAGCACAGCGCTCCTGCAGTACCCTGTGGGGTGTGTGGGGTGCAGGAGAACTTGTCCCTTTGCTCACCTTGAGAGGCTTGAGTTGAGCTCTGGACATTGTGGCTTGGGGGATACGTTCCACAGGACAAGAAACCCTTTCCTGACCTGCCGGGGCTCTTCAGCATGTACACACCTGCAGCAGGAGGTCCCTCAGCAGTGGAAGCTGTACCCATGCAGACAGGAGGACGGTGCCACGGCACCTCCAGCTCTGGTTCATGTGCCAGGCTCCGATGAGGTGTTCACCATCCAGGCAATGAGGTAACAGGCGAAGGAGCAGGCACGAAGCTGCAGGACAGCACACCCCACAGCAGCAGTGGTGGCAGCTCAGCAGATCTAAGAGCCTTGGTGCTCCTCGGCTGAACTCTGCCCGGTCTCTGCTGGAGGGACCATTCAGCAGAAGCATCTCCAGGGGAAACCAGGAGCAGTGAAGGGGCTGGCGACCCAAGCCCACATTTCCAAGACCCCACCACCCTCGGCTTCTCTTGAACATCTTCTGTTCCTCCAGCAGCGCTCAGCACCTTCTCCCCCAGCCAGGACAGGGGCACCTCCCCGTGGGGCAGAAGAGGCGGGCGACGCGCTCCCGGATCTGCCGCGTCCTCACCCCGTACACGATGGGGTTGAGCATCGGCGGGACCACGACGTAGAGGTTGGCCAGGAGGATGTGGACGTGGCTGGGGATGTGGTGGCCGAAGCGGTGCGTGAGGAAGGAGAAGAAGGCGGGCACATAGAACATGAGGATGACGCAGAGGTGGGAGCCGCAGGTGCTCAGGGTCTTGACCCGCGCCTCGGGGGACGGGAGGCGGAACACGGCCCGGAGGATGAGCACGTAGGACACGGCAATGAGCACCACGTCCAGCCCCGAGGAGAGCAGGGCCGTGGTCAGCCCGTACCACACGTTGGCCCTGATGTCGGCACAGGCGAGGCGCGCGATGCCCATGTGCTCGCAGTACGTGTGGGGCATGACGTTGTGCCCACAGTAGGGCAGGCGCTTGAGGAGGAAGATGGGGGGGAACATGATGCAGAAGGCGCGGATCACGGCGGTCGCGGCCATCTTCCCGATGACCGAGGGCGTGAGGGTGGCCGCGTAGCGCAGCGGGTGGCAGACGGCCACGTAGCGGTCGAAGGCCATGGCCAGCAGCACCGAGGACTCCACGATGAAGCTGAAGTGGGTGAAGAACATCTGCGTGACGCAGGCGTCGAAGGAGATCTCCCGCGCGCTGAACCAGAAGATTGCCAGCATTTTGGGCACGGTGGTGGTGGAGAGCATGAGGTCGGCGACAGCCAGCATGGCCAGGAACAGGTACATGGGCTCATGCAGGCTCCTGTCCGTGGCGATGACGAAGAGCAGGACCGCGTTGCTGAACACAGCGGTGATGTACATGAGGCAGAAGGGGACGGAGATCCAGACGTGGGACTCCTCCATGCCCGGGATGCCCGTCAGCACGAAGGTGATTGGGTCAAAGCTGCTCTCGTTGAGCTCGTACATGGTGCTGCCGGGCTCAGGGCCAGCTCTGTGCAAGAGAAGGGACAGCTGAGGCCTGGAGAGCCTGCTCTCAGCCCAGTACACATACAAAGGTGAACAACATAGTCTTCAATTTCCATTCACCTTCCATCCTAAGCCATTCCTGAAGGGCAAAGGATTGATTCACTGTGTTTTACTGCACAAAGAAATCCACTCATTTGATGCTATCAACCCTACAAACTGCCTGTAAGGAAAACATCTTCTCTGTGCTTCCATGTGCACCAGTCCGGGCCAGGTCCTCCCCATCTCCATCTCCCCATCTCTACTGCCATAAAAAGGCTTCTCAAAGTCAAAGGAGTCAAAGAGGGGAGACTGAGCTGAGTTCTTAGGCAGAAGCTCTTCCCTGTGAGGGTGCTGAGGCGCTGGCACAGGGTGCCCAGAGAAGCTGTGGCTGCCCCATCCCTGGCAGTGGTCAAGGCCAGGTTGGACACAGGGGCTTGGAGCAAGCTGCTCCAGTGGAAGGGGTCCCTGCCCGTGGCAGGGGCTGGGGCTGGAGGAGCTTTAAGGTCCCTTCATCCCAACGCATTCCATGCCTCCATGGCACAGCAGTGTCTCTGTTCAGGTCAGTGACCAGGTCACCTCCGAGAGCTCCTTGTACGAACCTGCAGGGTAGGAATGAAACTGCACCAGGGCCAGCACTGAGAAGTGTCTGGAACGTGGCTCCCATTGAATCCCCACCTCTGAAGGTTGTGACCACCCCAGAGCCCTCTGTAACACTTGCACTTGATGATCTTAAAGTTCTTTCCAACTTCATTATCCCATGATCCTACACTGGACACGTAACTCCCCATATTCCCACCTGTATAAACACGTCCACCTCATTGCAGACACCACAAAGTGCTCTTTGTTCCTCTCCCCCATCCACAGGGATCACCGAGACATAAACACCGAGGGGGAAAGGAGAGTGCAGGGCTGGAATTCCTTCTCATGCCCAGACTTCCTGATTGACCTGGAGCAACTCTCCCCCTGGGAGATTCCTGCCTTTCCATAGGATCCCAGCCTGGTTTGGGTTGAAGAGAAGAGACCTTAAAGCTCATCCAGCTCCAGCCTCTGCCATGGGCAGGGACACCTTCCACTAGAGCAGATCAACACCACCTTCACCTGAGCTTCCCAGGATATGGAAACATCTCATTCACAAGCTCCTCTATTCCCTCTCACTCTTCCCAAAGGAGGAGGCATCACCCCAGATGGGGTTTGATGGAAAAAAACTCACCAAGGAGCAGCCCAAGGAGGAAAGAGGAACCTCAGCCCCAGCTGCTGGGGTCACAACTCTCCTGCTCCCGAATCCCAGTGGGAACATCAGCCCGGAGCCTTGTGCAGTTTTAAATGCTCAGTGCATTAACCATTAACAGCATTAACACGTCCCGCCCTGGTGCAACATTCCTGCTCCCGGCATTTGCATTCCAAGATGCTTTGCTTCATCCCCACCTGGACACCAGCCCCTGAGCACAGGCAGGGCACACTCCAGCCTGGAGAAGAGAAGGCTCTTTAATGGGAGACCTGAGAGCAGCTCCAGTGCCTAAAGGGGCTGCAGGGAACCTGGAGAGGGGCTTGGGACAAGGGCCTGTAGGGCCAGGCCAAGGGGAATGGCTTTAACCTGCCCGAGGGGAGTCTGAGCTGAGCTCTTAGGCAGAAGCTCTTCCCTGGGAGGGTGCTGAGGCGCTGGCACAGGGTGCCCAGAGAAGCTGTGGCTGCCCCATCCCTGGCAGTGCTCAAGGCCAGGTTGGACACAGGGGCTTGGAGCAAGCTGCTCTATGGAAGGGGTCCCTGCCCATCGCAGGGGTTGGGACTGGGTGAGCTTTAAGGTCCCTTCATCCCAAACCATTCCATGATTCTATGATCTCTGATGTTCGGGATGGCTTTTATCCCCCATGTATGAGATGATTTGAACACACTTTGCCTGCAATCAACATGGGGAACATCCATCAGTGCAGCAGCAGAAGAGTCTGAATACAGAAGACTGTGAATAAATGCTTTATTTTCCATCCTAGCACCAAATGAAATGATGCAAATGCAGGCTCCGTGCCGCGGAGCAGGCAGCGCGGTGACGCGCTGAGGGACGGGCTGGGATACAGAGTGACCGGGACAGGACGGAGAGGTGGGAACCTCCTGGAGCTCAGCCCTCAGGGCAAAGGCAAGGGCCTGCCCCTGGGTCGGGGGAATCCCAGCAGACCCAGGCCGGGGGAGGAGCCGGGGTCTCACCGGTAGCCCGGTCCGGAGGGAGCTTCCCTGGAGCGGGCAGGTGCTGCTGTCCTGGGGGCGGCGGAAACCGGGACCTGTTCCTGGGATCAGCCTCTGGTTAAAGGGAGAGGTGAGGGGCGTCCGGAGGGGATGGAGTGACCTGACCCGACCCTGCCAGGAACCGGGCAGCCTCGGTGGGCTCTGGAAGGGGGGATCCCGGCTTCCCGCACGGCTGCCGGGAAGCTCCTTCCCCCAAAGGCACTGGGAGGGCTCAGGGACGGGATCAGGAGGGAAAGGCGCTGGCTCAGCAGGCGCAGTGCTCTCGCTCACAGCACCCCCATGCCCCCGTGAAGCGCGGACGCGGCCGTTCTAACCCAGCTCGTTGGGATGAGCCGTGAGCGGGCGGCAGCACAGACCCGTCCTGAGGGGGAGCAGGAGCTCTGCTGGGGACACCGGCTCTGGATCACCCCCACAGGGAGAACGGGCGCGGGGGGGCCCGGTGCTGCGCGGGCGGCACCAGCTCCACATCCGCACCCGGGAGCGCTGCGGAGATGCCCCGGGGGCCGCGGGACGGGGCTGGAGGAGCTTTAGGGTGCGTCCAGCACGAACCGCGCTCGGACCGCACCGGACCGGACCGGACCGGACCGGACCCGCGGCTCCGGCCTCGGCTCGGCTCGGCTCGGCTCGGCTCAGCCCAGGCCCTGCCCTGCCCTTCCCTCCCCTCCCCGCCGCCGCCGCCGCCGCCGAACGGGGCCCGGGCACTACCCAGCGGCCCCGAGCGCTGCGCAGGAAGTGACGTCCATCTCCCGCGCCGCCGGAAAGCCACTTCCGGCGCCCTCCAGGATAAAAGGCTCCGCGGGAGGCTCGCGGCCTCCTCTTCGCCGCGCGGCCCAAGATGGCGGACACGCAGGTGAGGGGCGGAGCGGAGCCTGCCCGCGGGCCTGCTCCGGACACACCGCGGAGCCCGCTCGGCCTCGGCACGGGGCGGCTGCGGCCCGGAGACGGGCGGCGGGAGCGGCCTGAGCGCCGCGGTGAGGCGGGGCTGGTGACTGCGGGGGGCCGGGGCCGTGCCCGGCGATGGGGCCCCGGAGCCGCCGGGGTCAGGGGGAGGATCCCGGTGCCGATCCCGGCGTTGGGGTCAGGATCCCGGTGCCGATCCCGGCGTTGGGGTCAGGATCCCGGCGTTGGGGTCAGGATCCCGGTGCCGATCCCGGCGTTGGGGTCAGGATCCCGGTGCCGATCCCGGCGTTGGGGTCAGGATCCCGGTGCCGATCCCGGCGTTGGGGTCAGGAATCAGAATCCCGGTGCCGTTCCTGGCGTTGGGGTCAGGATCCCGGTGCCGATCCCGGCGTTGGGGTCAGGATCCCGGCGTTGGGGTCAGGATCCCGGTGCCGTTCCCGGCGTTGGGGTCAGGACCCCGGTGCTGTTCCCGGTGCCCCCCGTGACCGTTCCCGTTCCCCGCAGACGGAGCGCGCGTACCAGAAGCAGCCCACCATCTTCCAGAACAAGAAGCGGGTGCTGCTGGGCGAGGGTGGCAAGGAGAAGCTGCCCCGGTACTACAAGAACATCGGCCTCGGCTTCAAGACCCCCAAGGAGGTGACGTGGGGCAGGGCGGGTCCCGGCACCGCCCAGGCCACCCCGGACCCCGTCCCCAGGGCCCTCATCCAGCCCCGGGCTCGGTGCTGGCTCCTGCAGGTGGTGACCAGCACCACCGGGTCCTGCTGCCCCACGCCTGGAGCACTCCGGGGGGTGGCCCCAGGGCAGGTCCCAGCACTGAGCCTGGTTCAGCCTCATCCCATGGGCCCAGACCCCTCTGTGAAGCCTCCCCCCTCCTGCAGCTCAAGGCTCCCACCCAACTTGGTGTCACCTTCGCGTCGACCACGGGTGCCCTCGCTCCCCAGCACTGGCCACGCGTGGTCCTGGAAGCGTTTCTCATCCATCTGCTGACTCCTCTCTCTGCAGGCCATTGAGGGCACCTACATTGACAAGAAGTGCCCCTTCACAGGCAACGTGTCCATCCGTGGCCGCATCCTCTCGGGTGAGTGGTGGTTCCTCGAGGGGCAGCACCCATGGGTGCTCATGCTCTGTCCTGGAGCTCCTGGCAGCCCCAGTAAGGTTCTCGGGCAGCACGTGATGTCTTTCTCTCACGATGGTCTTCCAAGCCCCCTGGTGAAGGGGCTCTGCTGACAGTGCCATGTGGCTTTACTGATGCCCAGCCCGAGGACCCAGCCATGGTAGGGTCCTGCCAGATGTGCTGCTGCCCTGGGCAGATGTTGGGGCCAGGCAGTGCAGGCGTGAGGGAGCGTATCAGGCTCTGCTTCGAGGGGCTTAGGAAGAAATGATGTGGTTTAGAATCAGATGTGAAGTTTGGAGCCTGGGGGTGAGGAGCAGGAGAGCCCCGTCCATTGTGGCAGAGACCTTCAGAGCCCCCCAAGGGATCTGCCAGAGCTTATTCTGGAGGTGAGGGAGGAGAAATGGGTGGGTGCTGAGAGCCTTGGGTTGTCCTCATCCTGCTGATCCATGGAGCTGCTGGTAGGCTGGAGCAGCTCTGCTCTGGAGCCAGGCTGAGAGAGCTGGGCTGGGTCAGCCTGGAGAAGGCTCCTGAAGGGGAGACCTGAGAGCAGCTCCAGTGCCTAAAGGGGTTGCAGGGAACCTGGAGAGGGGCTTGGGACAAGGGCCTGTAGGGCCAGGCCAAGGGGAATGGCTTTAACCTGCCCAAGGGGAGACTGAGCTGAGCTCTTAGGCAGAAGCTCTTCCCTGTGAGGGTGCTGAGGCGCTGGCACAGGGTGCCCAGAGAAGCTGTGGCTGCCCCATCCCTGGCAGTGTTCAAGGCCAGGTTGGACACAGGGGCTTGGAGCAAGCTGCTCCAGTGGAAGGGGTCCCTGCCCATGGCAGGGGTTGGAGCTGGAGGAGCTTTAAGCTCCCTCCAGGCCATCCCACTCCATGACTGTGTAACCACCATGTCCTTGTTGTCCCAGGGGTGGTGACCAAGATGAAGATGCAGCGCACCATCGTCATCCGCAGGGATTACCTGCACTACATCCGCAAGTACAACCGCTTCGAGAAGCGCCACAAGAACATGTCCGTGCACCTCTCACCCTGCTTCAGGTACCTGCTGGCCCCATGGGGGGGTTGGGGGGGTCACCAGACTGTTCCACACTGCTGAGCACTGCCTGACACCAACGCTGAGCCCACCCCTGGTGTGGAACCCAGCAAGTGCCCACCTCCACGTGGCTTCATGGCCCCGTCTGACCCGGAACCTGCCTCTGGTGGTGATGTCCAATCTCACGATGGTCTTCAGAGCCCCCCAGCATGGGCCTGCTGACAACGCCAGTGGCAACTGCTGAACCAGAGACAGGTTCTGATCAGGTCACAGATAACAAGGGGGTGGCTTTAACCTGCCCACGGAGTTAGTGGGGAGTTAGGAAGTTCTTCAGCACGAGGGTGGTGGGACACTGGCACAGGGCGCCCAGAGAAGCTGTGACTGCCCCATCCCTGGCAGTGCTCAAGGCCAGGTTGGACACAGGGGCTTGGAGCAAGCTGCTCCAGTGGAAGGGGTCCCTGCCTGTGGCAGGGGTTGGAACTGAATGAGCTTTAAAATCCCTTCAACCCAAACCATTCCATGATGATCCCGTGTTCCTCACTTAAAGGCTGAGGACGGGCTCAGAGCTGGTGGGTTTTGTCCACCACTCAAGTCCTGAGCCTGTTATGCAGAGCTGGGCTTCCAGAACAGCCTGACCTGGTGTCACAGCCCCCCTTGTCCACCTAAAGAAGGGGTTAGCATCCTCCAGGCACCCCTGTGTGACCAGGAGGAAATCTCCCTGTCACTGCGGGGTTCCCTTCCATGCTCATCTCTCAGCCACCTCTTGAGCCTCAGCCCAGTGGGGAGCGATGGGCTCCATGGGGGCAACAGCTCCCCTTGGGGCTCCAAAACCAGACCAGCTCACTTTAGATCTTCATCTGAGGTGGCCTCTGGTGCATGTCACTGGGGGCACTGGGCAGTGGTGCCCAGAGGCCGTGGGGAGGGGAGTTGGGAGCGGCTGCAATCCCAGGAATGTCTGTGCAGGGACGTGCAGATCGGGGACATCGTCACGGTGGGTGAGTGCCGGCCCCTCAGCAAGACCGTGCGCTTCAACGTGCTCAAGGTCACCAAAGCTGCGGGCACCAAGAAGCAGTTCCAGAAGTTCTGAGGCAGCAGCTGCAGAAATAAACGTGATGGAAAGGTCCCTGTGTGTGGTGGTGCCAGGGGGAGCGGCACGGGGGCACCGGGGCGTCCGTCAGCCATGGAGTGGGGCTGGAGAAGAGCTCAAGGTTGGACAGGGCTTGGAGCAAGCTGCTCTAGTGGAAGGGGTCCCTGCCCATGGCAGGGGTTGGAACTGGAGGGGCTTCAAGGTCCTTTCCAGTCCGACCCATTCCATGATTCCAAGTGCTGCAGAAGGCTTCAGAGGCTCCATCGCAGCAGCTGCTAGATCCTGATGTTCCCATCACCCAGATGGGATCCCAGGAAACCCATTCCTGGTTTTCCAGCCTCGGGGCACCAGGAGGCTCATGTCATCCTTGGGGAGGCGGACCTGGGGCTTGATCCAGTGGAGCAGACCGGAGCAGAGATGTTCCCACTGGGAAGGGTGGGGAAAGGTGCTGTGGCCAGCAGAGCAATGAAGACACATCTTGGAGGCCACTCTCTGCTGTCCCTCATAAGGTGTGAGGGGGACAGGGTGTCACCAGAAGGGCTGGGCCGTGTCCACAGAAGGTGTCGCCATGAAGGCTTCTGGGTCCATGTCTGAAACCAGCCCCGTGGAGAGCCAGGGCTTGGATCCACATGGACAAGGGATCCTTGTGCTCTGCCTCTGGCTTCCAGTCACCGTCCTGCCCATGGGCTGTGTGGGCAGCTCCTGCCATCCCAACCCTGTTTGCTCCACCACATCAAGTGGTGCCACGTGGAGCATCCAACCGGCTCCGATGGGATGGAGCCCCAGCGTCTCCCCCAGAGCCCCCCCTGCGTCCTGCCCAGTCCCTCACCTACTGCTGCCGCTGCTCCCAACCCTGTCCCTGGCAGGGGGAGCGCAGCACGTGGTGTGGGAGAACATCATCCTCATCATCCTGCTCTTCCTTGGAGGGTGTTTGCACCCAGGTGTGTCCCTCTGCACCTCAGTAACCACCCTCCCCTGTGTCACACCCCCACACACACCTTCCATGTCAAACCCCCCCGTGCACCCCAGTGTGTGTGTCCCATCTGCACCCCCTGCACCCCTTCTGCTGCTTGGGGGGGCAGCCCCACACCCCCATTGCCAGGTCCCCCTAGCGCAGGCAGCAGCAGACGCAGCCTCAACAACAAACCAGCCCCTTTATTGCAGCTGGGTCTGACCCCCAGAGCCCCCCCATGCACCCGCCCCACACCCCTCCCAGGGCACCCACACCCCCCCAGCGCGCCCCACGAGCAGTTGGTGGGTGCCAGGGCTGCAGCCACCCATGGAGGGGGCCAGGGTCCTGCCCTGCCGCTGCCCCCCGGCTGCAGAGGTCAGAGGGGGGGCTCGCCCTCGGGGGGCTGGCACAGGAAGGGCGAGGTGACGGCGTGAGCCTGCGCGATGGCCGCCAGCTCCTTGAGGAACTCGCTGAAGATGACGGCGCTGTAGACCCCGTTCCGCACGCGCAGCGCCGGGCTCTGCCGCTCGCCCCACGGCCACGGGCCCCCCGCGCCCCCCCCGGCCCGTGGCCCCGGTGCTGGGCCCAGCCGCAGCCGCGTGGGGCTGGAGCTGGGCCGCAACAGCAGCTCCCCAAGCGACGGCCGCCGGCTGCGGGCTGGGGCCGACAGTCAGGGGGGGGCATGGACACCCCCACACCGCGGGAGGCCAGTGCCCCAAGCACCCCTGACACCCCCTGACCCACTGCGGGGACCCACACAGTGCCCAGCCCCTGTACAACACCATGTCCCCATCTCATATCCCCACATCCCATGTCTCACATCCCGATCCCATGTCCCCATCTCATATCCCCACATCCCTCCACCATGTGTCAATCCCATATCCCTTTCCCAGGTCCCCACCTCATATCCCCCATCCCACATTCCCTTATCCCGTATCTCCCACCCAACATCCCCATCCCATGTTCCCACCCCATGTCCCATCAGTGCCCCCATCCCGTCCCCCTCATATCCCTTTCCCATGTCCCCATCACATATCCCCACATCCCTCCACCATGTCCCCATCCCATATCCCTTTCCCAGGTCCCCACCTCATATCCCCCATCCCACATTTCCCTATCCCATATCTCCCACCCAACGTCCCCATCCCATGTTCCCACCCCATGTCCCATCAGTGCCCCCATCCCGTATCCCCATCCCATGTCCCCTCAGGGTCCCCATCCCATGTCCCCATCCCCTGTCCCCACCTCATATCCCTTTCCCATGTCCCCATCACATATCCCCACATCCCTCCACCATGTCCCCATCCCATATCCCTTTCCCACGTCCCCACCTCATATCCCCCCATCCCACATTCCCCTATCCCATATCTCCCACCCAACATCGCCATCCCATGTTCCCACCCCATGTCCCATCAGTGCCCCCATCCCATGTCCCCATCCCCTGTCCCCACCTCATATCCCTTTCCCATGTCCCCATCACATATCCCCATCCCATGTCTCCCATCCCATGTCCCATCAGTGTCCCCATCCTGTATCCCCATCTCATGTCCCTTCAGTGTCCCCATCCCCTGTCCCCATCTCATATCCCCATCCCATGTCTCCCATCCCACATCCCCATCCCATGTTCCCACCCCCTGTCCCATCAGTGTCCCCACCCCATATTCCCATCCCGTGTCGCCTCAGGGTCCCCATCTCATATCCCCACCCATATCCCCAACCCCTGTCCCCATCCCATGTCCTCACCCGGGGTCTCGCTGCGCCGAGGGGGAGTCCCCGTGCCCGAGCCCTCGGTGCCCTCGAGCCGCCCGATCAGGTACTTCTTGGCCTTGAAGAGCAGCACCGGGAAATCCTCCTGCGTGGCCGCGAACGCCTCGATCTTGTTCTTCACGGAGCCCAGGACCTGCGGCAGGAGCAGAGGGCACAGGAGGGGCTGGGACCCCCACCTGGGACCCACCCAGGGCCCCAAGCGAACGCCGCACCGGTACCTGCAGCAGGGACTTGACGCTGGGCTGGAAAACCATGTTGGTGTTGAGCAGGAAGGAGCGGAGCAGGGGCTGGGGGTAGCAGGCGAGCTGGGCCACGAGCCCCGTGAGCAGCACGTTCACGTACAGCGAGTTGTGGGGCATGTTCTCCAGCTTGGCCAGCAGCGCCGACACGAAGGGACCTGCGCCGGCAGCGGCGGCTCAGCCGACACCGGCACCTGGAGCCACCGGCACCACCGCGAGGCGGGGGGGGCTCATGGGCAGTGGGACCCCCCCACGTGAAGGGCTGGCTGGGGTCAGCCCTGTGGCCAGTGCGACCCCCTGGTACAACCCCATCTCCCAGCTGTGAAGGGCTGGTTGGGGCAGCTCCACATACCCACATCCCACCTATGGAGGGCTGCTTGGGGGCAACCCTGTGGCCACTGTGACCCTCTGGTACAACCCCATATCCCAGCTGCAAAGGGCTGATTTGGGGCAGCCTCGTATCCCGCTGTCCCACCAGTGAGGGGCTGCTTATGGGGCAGCCCCACCACCCCATGGCCTCACCTGTGAAGGGCTGGTTGGGGGGCGGCCCCACAGCTCGTGGCGGGGAAGCCACTGCTTGTGCCAGCGGGTCCGGTGGCCGCGGGGGGGGGCTGGTGAAGCTGGTGAAGGTCTCCTCCTCCTCCTCATCCTCCTCCTCCTCATGTGGCACTTTGGGGGGATCGTGGGGCTCGGTGTCCCCCTCATCCCCATCGTCCCCATCGCTGCCATTCTTCATCCTGGCCTCAAGCCTTTGCAGCTCCTCGGTGAAGGCCTCGATGGTGCCGCCGTTGGGCTCCGCGGGCGCGTTGGCCAAGAGCTCGTCCAGCACCGAGTCCACAGCGGGCAGCGGCTCCCGCGGCCGGGGCCTCCCCTCGCCCCCGTCCTCCTCCTCCTCCTCCTCCTCCCGCTGCCGCCGCCGAACTTTCTTCACCACCACATCGCCCTCGGGCCGGCCCGGAGCCGCCGGCGCGTGCGTCCCGTTCACCACCGGCCCCGACTCCCGGCGCTCGGGGCTGGGCCCGGCCGTGCCGGTGTCACCGGCGCCACCACCGGGGGGTCCCTCCGGCAAACCCCGTTTCTTTGTCCGTGGGGATGGGGGCCGTGGGGCAGTGGTGTCTGTGGGGAGCCCGTCCCCATCGCCCCGCGGCTCCTCGCCATCGTAGGGCGCTGACCACACGCGGCAGGCCCACGCGCAGCGGTCGATGCTGTGCCGCGCGTCCCGCAAGTATTCCAGGTAATTCCCGTCCAGCTCCGACACCTCATCCCACCTCCCAGCGCGGTGCCCAGGGCTGCCAGAGGGGGTTCCGGGAGAGCGCGGGGCCGCGCCATTGCCATCACTCGCCGCATTGTGCTGCCGCATGAAGAAGGAGAGACGGGATGGGGTGGACGGCTTCGGCGCCGGTGCCGGTGCTGCGTCCGTGGTGGGGCTGCCAGGACCTGTGGGGAGGGCAAAGGGCTCAGGGCTGGGACTGGGGGTGACCTGGCAACCCAAGGAAAACCAGGCTCAGCATGGGAATAAAGGTTGACCTGGCAGCCCAAAGGACATGGGGACAGCACAAAGGCAGCTCAAGGCTGGGATATGGGGTTGACCCGGCAGCCCGAGGGATACAGGGCTGGGCTATGGGGTGATCTGGCAGCCCAGGGGACAGAGGGTTGGGATATGGGTGACCAGAGGACACAGGGACACTGGCTCCGTACCCCTGCTCCAGGCAGCCGGTTCCTGGTCGCGGGGGGGCAGGGGTGGGCTCTGGGGCTGGCAGCACTGTGGGATGAGGGACAGGAACTTGGCGGCTGTCCTGCCATAGATGTCCAGGTCTCTGACCGCCCGCTTCTGGCTCAGCATGAGGTGGCTGCAGGGCAGCAGGTACCTGGGGGACACACACATCAGGGGACACGTGTGTGGGGGGAACACACATGCAGGGGGACACGTGTTGGGGGGACAAGTGTGTGCTGGCAGGACAGGGGGGGTACCTGAGCACCAGCTGCAGCATCACGTCCTCACAGTTGAGGCTGAGCAGGGTCCGGAAGAGGCTCAGGGACACCATGCAGAGCTGGGGACAGCGCCACATCAGGGGATGCAGTGGGGCAGCCCATTGGGCAGCGCCATGGGGCAGCCCCGCAGCGGGGAAGGGCCATGGCTGGACAGTCCATTGGGGTGTCCATGGGGCAGCCCTGCAGTGGGGCAGCAGCTCAGGGCGCTGTGGGAGGTTCCGGGGGCAGTCTGTGGGGCAGCCCCCGGGGCAGCCTCGGCACTCACCCGGGCGTTGCTGTTGATGCGGGCAATGAGCGTGTCCAGGATGGTGCTGCCGTCGTGGCGGTGCAGCAGGAGGAAGCGCAGGAAGGTGCGGAGCAGTGCCGGGGCGCTGGCGCTGCGCAGGAACAGCTCCAGGTACGCGGTGCTGGCCACCGCCTCCTCCACCGATGTCTGCGGGCACGGCATCGTGGGGCTGGGGCTGGCCCTGGACCCAGGGGCAGGAGCTGGGAGGCAGGGTCTATGGAGCAGGGTCCATGGGGCTGTGGGACTCACCTTGTGCAGTGCCGGGCCCATGACGGGCACCAGGAACCCGTTGTGGATGTATTCCACCAGCTGCTTCTGCACCAGCGGGTGGGCGACCTGTGGGGCACGAAACAAGGAGCATGGCCATGGCCAGACCCACAGCAGAGTCACGAGCCCCACAGTGGTCTCCTGCACCGCGGCCCTCCCTGGACCTCCCCCCCCCGCAGTACCTGAAGAACGGCATTGCAGAACTCAAGGCTGTTGATGAAGAGCACAAGCGGGGCCACCCCCAGCCAGTCGCGGCGCCGCAGCCGGTGCCATTCGTCACCTGGTACCTCCAGGCGCCGCGGCAGCGACGAGTACAGAGCGCTCAGCCCCGCGGCCAGCACCTGTGGGGACACGGGCATGGGCATGGAGACCTGCATCCAACACCTGCATCCAACATCCCATCCCGACCTCGCAACCCAATATCTTCGTCCAATCTCCGCCCCTCCAAGTTCTCCATCTCCATCCTGACATCTCGAATCCTCCAAGTTCTCCATCTCCATCCTCTCCATCTCCATCCTGACATCTCCATCCTGACATCTTGAATCCTCCAAGTTCTCCATTTCCACCCCCTCCACTGCCATCCCCTCCGCCTCCACCCTCTCTATCCCCCTTACCTTATCTCCATTCTCCATCCCCACTCTCCATTCCTCTGCCTCCATCCCCTCCATCTCCATCCCTCCACCTCCATCTTGTCCATCCCTATCCCCTCCACCTCCATCCCCTTCATCCCCATCCTTCCACCCCCATCTCCCAGTTCTCCATCTGTACCGGGCAGAAGTAGGAGTTGTCGGTGATGGACTTGGCCACGGCGTGGTTGTTGGCCGACATGGCCATGATGAGCAGCAGCGCATCCCTGGCCTGCTGCCCCAGGACGCCCTCGTGGTGGATGAAAGGGACGAGGAGCGAGAAGATGATGATGTTGGCGGGGCCCTGCTCAGAGGGGCTGTGGAAGAAGAGCTCCAGGATGGCGGGCTCCTTGGCCACGCAGACGCAGAGCTGGTTGAGCAGGAGGACGAGGCCGTGCTGCAGCGCGGGGGACGAGGGCTGCGCGCACAGGCGCAGGAGGCGCAGGAGCGGGGCGCGCACGGCGCCGTGCCGCAGCACCGCCTGCCGCGCCTGCGCCAGCAGCACCTCGTAGAGCCGCAGCTGCTCCAGGCGCTGCTCCTCGGGGAAGCCGCTGCGAGCGTGCCAGCGCAGCAGCCGCGCCAGCACCTGCTCCTGCGCCACGAACGCCAGGATGGGTCCCGGCTGCGCCGCGCCCGCCCGCGGCCGCTCCTCTGCCAACAGCTGCAACATCTGCAGCGAGTGGTTCCGCACTGCTGCCACGTCATCCGGGGTCGGGGGGCAGCCGCCACGCTCCAGCACCCGCAGCACCTGCAGGACGGGGATCGGTGAGTGCCGGGGTCCATGTCCCCATGTGGTGGTGGGACCTGCTGGCAGTGGGGTGGGAGCACCCGCAGCACCTGCAGGACGGCCATGTCCCCATGGTTACGACATGGCACAAGGTATGGTGGCAGCAGCATTGAATGCAAGGGTCCATGTATGTTGGTGGCGGGACACGACATGACACAGAGCGGTCCATGTCCCCATGTGGTGGTGGGACATGACGTATGCTGGCAGCACTGGGTGCTCAGGTTCCCATCCCCATGCCATGTCCCTGTGATGGTCCATGTCCCCACATAGCAGTGGAGAGCCCTGACATGACATGTGGTGGCAACACTGGGTGCCAGGGTCCATGTCCTCATGTGGTGGGACATGATAAGATGCCTGGTGGCCACATTGAGTGCCGTGTTCCCTTGTCCCTGTGCCGTGTTCCCATGTCCCCACAGCTCACCTGGGACCAGTGGTTCTTGAAGACCATGAGGCAGGTCTCGGGGTCGGCAGTGACGGGGCTGGTGGCGCCGGTGCTGCGGGGGGGCCTCTGCCCGCCCGCCCGCGGTGTCAGCTTGGACAGCCAGCTCATCCGCTCCATGGCCAACGCGCTCAATGGCACCAGGACGGGGCTGCCACCGCGGGGACACTCACCCCATGCTGGTGGCACACAGGGCTGCACTGTGGGGACAGCGGGGCTCAGAGACCACAGGGACAGGGCAACCCCATAAGGCCTCCATCTCCATCCCTCCACCTCCATCCCTCCATCTCTATCACTCCAACCCCATCCCAACATCTCCATCTCCTCCATCTCCATCCCTCCATCTCTGACCCCGGCACCACTCGGCAGCACAGGGAGCACCGGGACCCAGCAGCCGGTGCCATGGAGCACGTGGCAGCCCCAGGCCAGGCCTGGCGGTGACGGGATGGAGCAGCCAGGTGACCACACGGTGCCAGAGCACCGGGAACAGCACGAGGAAGGGGATGGGCGGGTGCCAGTGGCGTTCCCAGCCCTGCACTTTGGACTGGGAGCAGCCCAGCCCCAGCATGGGGGAAGCTCCCAGCACCCAACCAGGATAATGGGACAACTGGGACAGCCACCCCGGCTCCATCCTACTCCATCCCATCACCTCCACCCTACCTGGCTCTATCCTATCAGCTCCATCCCAACCACCTCAATCCCACTGGCTCCTTCCTCGTTCCATCCCAACACGTGTCCCTGTTGCAGGACATGGCTCTGGCCTCCCCCGTGGTGCCAGGTGATTCCCGGTGCCCACTGGCACACAGACACCGGGACGAGCCCCGGCACAGCCGGGAGATACCGGCCCCATGGCAGCCCCATTCGGGCAGCTCTGTGCACATCCCCGTGCCGGTGCTCCCGGAACAGCCGGAGCCCCGTGCCCGGAGCAGGGTCCCGGCAGCCCGGGAAAGGCCTTGTCGCGGTCCCCGCGTGTGACCGGGGCCGGCACAGGGCACGACCCGGTGCCCCGGTACGAGCGGGGGCCGGTACCGGATCCCGCCGCCGCCTACCTGGGGTCAAGGTCACGGCAGCTCCGTCCCGTCAGCGCCGACCCTGAGGGGATCGAGGAGGCGTCGGGCGGACGCTGGGCCCGGCCCCGAACCCCGGTACCGGCCGCGGCCCGGTTCGACTCCGGCGGCGCGGCGCGGCCCAGGCCCGGCCCCGATCCCGGCCCCACCGCGGGTACCCCCGGCCCGGGTCCCCCGCGGGGCCCCTCCCAGCCGGGTCCCCGCCCGTTCCCCGCCCGCAGGCCCCGGCCCGCCCCGGCCCCGATCCCGTCCCGGCTCCGCTCCCCCGGCCCCGCCGCTCACCGGCCGCCCCCCCCGCGGGCCGCGCACGACCGCCGCCATCTTCCCGCCGCCGCCCGGCGCGCCGGACGCGCAGGACACGCCCACCGCCGGCATAGGCCACGCCCCGTGTCAGGGTGACCACGCCCATTGTCAGGTAGACCCCGCCCATTGCCGCTTTGACCACGCCTCTCGATACTGAGGCCCCGCCCCGTCCGTTCCGTAGGCGGGGCGTTGCTGAGCGCTCATTGGCTGTTCTGAGCACGGGGTGGGGCCAGCCGGGGAGGCGGGGCCTGAGCCCTGGGGAGTCGCGTGGGTCGAGGGGCGCTGGGGACGGGTGCGGGGAAGCGGATGGGAGCCGGGAGCACCCTAAAGCGGGAGCCCCCGCAACGGGACCCTCCCTGCGCCACGAACCCTGCTCCAGGGACTGCCTGCACCGGGCGTCCCCTGCACGGGGACCCTCCCTGCACCACGAACCCTGCTCCAGGGACTGCCTGCACCGGGCATCCCCTGCACGGGGACCCCCAACGGGACCCTCCCTGCACCACGAACCCTGCTCCAGGGACTGCCTGCACCGGGCATCCCCTGCACGGGGACCCCCAACGGGACCCTCCCTGCGCCACGAACCCTGCTCCAGGGACTGCCTGCACCGGGCGTCCCCTGCACGGGGGACCCCCAATGGGAACCCCCCTGCACTGGGTACCCCCTACACCAGGTACCGCCTGCACACAGCACCCCGCTACAACCGGAGCCCCCATTCAAAGGGTACCCCCACAGTGGGCACCCCCATAGCAAGCACCCCCCTACACTGCGTACCCCTCACCGGGAACCCCCTCAACAGGAAACCCTGCACTGGGCACCCCCATAACGGGCACCCCGGGCTCTGCTCCATCAGCCTGAGACAGGTACCGGGAGCTGCCACCGTGCCTGGAGCAGCCGCGGCCATGGGCACCGGCCCCGGCCCCAGGCTCCACCGGTGTCACCGCAGGGACCGGAGTTGCCAGGGCGCTGGCGGCTGCGTCACGGTGCCTGGGGACAAGCTCGGTGTCACTGCTGGGCTGCAGCACTGGTGCCGAGAGCAGGAACTGAGACCCAGGGCACGGGATGAGCAGCACCGGCCACCGGCTGTGCCTGCAGTGGCTCCGGCGGCAACTCTGGTGGTGAGCAGGAGCCGGGTGGGTGCTGACGATGGGGCTGGTGAGGTCAGTGACCACCATAGGGTGGCCCCTGATGTCCCTCTGACCCCCCAGCAGCCCCGAGCCCCACCACAACTGGACGCTGGACCCCTCCGGTGACCAGTATTACTGGTGGATCACGGTCATGGCGCTGCCCATCCTCTACAACTTCATTGTCCCCATTTGCAGGTGACAGAGGGGACACGGGGGGTGATGGGGGTCCTGGTGCTGGTGGCAGCGCTGACGGTGCCGGTTCCAGGTTGTGCTTCCCGGAGGTGCAGGACCAGCTCCCACGGCTGTGGCTGGGCCTGGACACCCTCAGTGACGTGTTGTACCTGGGGGACATCGGCGTGAGGCTGCACACGGGTGTGTGACCCACAGGGACCCCCACTCTGCCCCACTGCGACCCACACAGTGACCCATAGTGCCCCACACCTGCCCCACATACCCCCAGCCCCACCCCACGCCTGCCCTTCACACCACCCCCATGCCACCCCACACACCGCCATCATCCCATACCCCCAAAGCCCCACACCCCCTGCACTGCCCCCCCCCCATACCACTGCTCTCTCCCCACAGCCTTCCCTGAGGACGGGCTCCTGGTGCGGGACCGGGTCCACATCCGCCGCCGGTACCTTTGGTCCCGCTCGTTCTGGTGGGACGTGGCATCATCGGCACCACTGGAGCTGCTGTGGCGGCGCCCGGAGGCTCGTGCCACGCGGTGGCTGCGGGCGCGGCGCCTGTGCGAGGCCTGGCAGCGCCACGAGACGCGGGCGGCACATCCCGGTGGCCTGCGCGTGGCCGCGCTGCTGCTGGGCGCCGTGGCCACGCTCCACGGCCTCGCCTGCGCCTATTTCGCGCTCTCAGTGCGCCTCGGGCTCGGCTCCGACGCCTGGGTCTGCCCCAGCAGCACCGGAGTCTGGCGCCGGTACCTGCACAGCTTCTACACGGCCACGCTGCTGCTCGCCACCGTGGGGGACACGCCGACACCACGCCGCGTGCCCGAGCTACTCTTCGCCACCTTCAGCTTCCTCCTGGGGGTCCTGGCCTTCGCCACCATCACCGGCAGCATCGGCGCCGTGGTGGGAGCCACGCGCGGAGCCTGGCACCGCGACACCGCGGCCGTGAGGCAGCTGCTGGGGCCTGGGGAACTGCGGCGGCGCCTGCAGCGGTGGCGGCCAGAGCCAGCACTGGCAGTGGAGCAGAGCACGCTGCGGGCACTGCCACGGGCGCTGCACGAGGAGCTGGCGGCCGCGGCGCACCTGCGGGCTCTGAGCCGCGTCGGCGTGTTCCGTGGCTGCGAGCGCGGCGTCCTGCGGCGCCTCGTGCTGCGCCTGCGGGCTCAGGGCTACGGCCCCGGGGAGCCCGTGTGCCGCCGCGGCCACGTGGGCCGGCACATGTTCTTCATCCGCAGCGGGCTCGTGGCCGTGCTGGGCGACGACGGCGCCACCCCCGTGGCTGTGCTGGGCCGGGGCAGGTACTTCGGGGAGCTCAGCCTCATCCACATCCCCGGTGAGCATCGCAGGGGGGCGGGGGCGGCCCTGTGGGGCAGCGTGGGTCAGCAGTGGGTCACTGTGGGGCAGCGTGGGTCAGCAGTGGGTCACTGTGGGGCAGTGTGGTTCAGCAGTGGGTCACTGTGGGGCAATGTGGGTCATTGTGCATCAGGTGTGTGTCACTGTGGGTCAATGTGGGGGTCAGCAGTGGGTCACTGTGTGTCATGTAGGTCACTGTTGGTCACTGTGGGGCAGTGTGGGTCAATGTGTGTCAATGTGGGTCAGCAGTGGGGCAGTGTGGGAGAGTGTGGATCACTGTGTGGGTCACCGTGTGGGGCACTGTGGGTCACTGTGTGGTGCAGCAGTGGGGCAGTGTGGGTCACTGTGTGGGTCACTGTATGGGTCAGCAGTGGGGCAGTGTGGGACAGTAGGGATCACTGTGTGGGTCACTGTGTGGGGCAGTGTGGGACACTGTGTGGGTCAGCAGTGGGGCAGTGTGGGACAGTGTGGATCACAGTGTGGGTCACTGTGTGGGTCAGCACTGGGGCACCGTGGGGCACTGTGTGGGTCAGCACTGGGGCACCGTGGGGCACTGTGCGTCAGTATGGAGACCAGCAGTAGGTCAGCGCCGCTCCCGCCCCGCAGGGAACCGCTGCGGGAACCGGCGCACGGCTGACATCGTGAGCGTGGGGCACTCGGAGCTGTTCCTGCTCTCCAAGCAGGACCTGCTCCAGGTCCTGGCCGAGTTCCCTGGCGCGCGTGCGGCGCTGGAGGCTGAGGGCCGGCGGCTGCTGCAGCTCACGGGGCGCCTGGACGCCGGGGCTGAGGCGGCGGCAGCAGCGGCCGCGCTGCGAGCGCAGGGGCTGGAGGAGGCCCTGGCGCAGCTGCGGGTGCGAGTGGCAGCGCTGGTGGCGCAGCTGGAGGCCACCGAGGGCCACCTGAGGCTGCGGGTGCAGCGCCTCGAGCAGCGGCTGCGGCAGCGCCGGGACGCAGAGGCCAGGGGGGGACAGGCCAAGGGGCAGGGTCCTGGTGCAGCGCCCAGGGCACCGCATCCTGCTGGGGCTCAGGGTCACCCCAGGTCATAGCATGCCTCCAAAGCACAGGCCCCCCCCCCCCGGCCATATCATCCCCCGTGTCACAGCATCCCCCCAAGGTGCAGGGTCCCCCCCCAGGTCCCACCTTTGCCCCTCCAGCTCTGGGGTCCTGCGGGTGTGACAGCAGCATGGGGGGACCCGAAAGCTGGAGCCTGGTAATGGCAAGAAAGCAGCAGGATGGGATGGGATCAAGATCAGGATTGGGATGGGGACAGGAGGGGGATCAGGAAGGAGACAGGGGTAAGGACAGGGATGGGGACAGGGATGTAGGATGATGACATGGGGTCGGGACAGGGACGGTGCTATGGGGATAGGAATAGTGGATGGGGACTGGGATGGGGATGGCAGTAGGGATAAGGACAGAGATAAGGACAGGGAAAGACAGGGATGGGAATAGTGATGAAGGTAGAGATAAGGCTACAGATAGCAATAGAGAGGGATGGGAACAGGGACAGGGGCAAGGACAGGGATAAAGATAGTGATGGGGATAAAAACAGGATAGTTACAGGGATGGGACCCCCAGGCAAACCCACAGGAGGCACCATGGGAGCCACCAGTGATGGACTCCACAGTGATGGACACACAGGGGTGGACACATGGAACGGACACCTGGGATGGACACACGGTGTCAGACACCACAGGGATGGACGCAAGGGATGATCACACGGGATGGGCACACGGTGTCAGACACCACGGTGACGGTTGCCACCGCCCTGGCCCCGCCCCCGCCTGCCCCGCCCCCGCCGCCGTTCCCGGTCACTCTCCCGGTCTCCCGGAGCCGAGCGGAGCTGCCGCCCGGGGCCGCGGTGATGGGCGCGGGGCAGCTCTGACGGGGCCCCGCCGCTGCCATGGACCCTCCGCGTCTCAACGAGTCTCTGCAGGAACTGCTCTGCCGCCCCGGCCCCGGCCCCGGCCCCGGCCCCGCCAACGGCTCCGGCAGCGGCAACGGCTCCGCCTGCGACCTGCTCCGCAGGGGCCTCCGCGGGCCGCCGGCGCCCCGAGGTGAGACCGGGCGGGACGAGAGCGGGCGGGAGGAGACAGGGGGGACCCTGCGATGCCGCCGTGAGCCCCGGGAAGCTCCCCCCCGCCTGCATCGGGGGGGGGGGGGGTGTTCCCGGTGCATCCCAATGCATTCCGCTGTGCCTCCGGTACTTCCCGGTTCATCCCGCCGTTCCTCCCGGGGCTTCCCGGTGCATCCCAGTACATCCCGTTATGCCGCCGGTACTTCCCGGTGCATCCCGCCGTGCCTCCTGATGCATCTCAATGCATCCTGCCGTGCCTCCTAGTGCATCCGAATGCATCCTGCCTTGCCTCTCGGTGTTTCCCGATTCACCCTGCTGTCCCTGCTGGGGCTTCCCGGTGCATCCCACCGTGTCTCCCAGTGCACTCCAATGCTTCCCGCCGTGCCTCCCAGTGCCCCGCGGTGCCCCCCGGTGTATCCCAATGCATCCTGCTGTGCCTCCCGGTGCATTCCCTGTTCCCCTCGCTGTACTCCCTTGCACCCGCGGTGCCTCCCGGTACACGCTGGTGCCTCCTGGCGCATGCAGCTGTGCCTGCCGGTGCCCCTCAGTGCACTCCCTGCTCCCCCCGGTGCCTCCCATCCGCATGCTCTATGTCCGCGGTTCCCCCCGCTGCTCATCCCGGTGCAGCCCCAGCACCGCTGCATCACCCCGGCCCCGGTCCCCGGTCCCATGCATCCTGGTGCACTCCCTGTGTTTCCCGGTGCTTCCCAGCGCATGTTTCCGTGCCTCCTGCTGCACTCCAGTGTGCTCCCTGTGTCTCCCGGTGCATCCTAACGCATGCTGCCGTGCCTATTGGTGCACCCCAATGCACCCCCCATTGCTTCCCGGTGCCTCCCCGTGCTTTCCAGTGCTTGCTGATGCCTCCCGGTCTTTCCCAGTGCCTCCTGGTGCATGCTGCTGCGCCTATCGGTGCATCCCGGTACATTCCCCGTGCCTTCTGGTGCCCCCTGGTGCACCCCAGTGTTCTCTCAGTGCCCCCTTGTGCATTTCCCGTGCACCCCAGTACGCCCCAATTCACCCCCGGTGCCTCCTGTCAGCCCCATGGGCGGCGCTGGGTGCCTACACCGTGCCCTGGCTGACGCTGTGTCCCGGTTGTCCCGGTGCCCTGGCCGGTTGATGCGGTGCCCTGGCTGACACCGTGTCCTGGTTACTGTGGCTGATGCCGTGTCCTGGTTGTTCCGGTTGTGCCGGTGCCCTGGCTGCGGTGGCACCACCAGAGCTGGACGTGGCACTGCGGGTGCTGCTCTATGGGCTGATCTTCGCGCTGAGCGTCGGGGGGAACGCACTGGTGGTGGCCGTGCTGGTGGCCAACCGGCGCCTGCGCACCGTCACCAACTGCTTCCTGCTCTCACTGGCGCTGAGCGACCTGCTCCTGGCGCTGTGCTGCATGCCCTTCAGCCTCCTGCCCGCCATCATGGGCTCCTTCGTCTTCGGGGAGGCCGTCTGCAAGCTCATGGCTTACCTCATGGGTACAGCAGTGCCGGGAGCGTGGGCTGGGCTGGGGTCGGGTGGGATGACATGAGGATGAGATGAGATGGGGTGGGGATCCAGTGGGATGAGGTGGGATGGGAAGGGAAGGGGTGGGGTGAGATGGGATGGGATGGGATGGGATGAGAGGGATGGCATGGGATGGGATGGGATGGGATGGGAAGGGGTGGGGTGGGATGAGATGGGATGGGATGAGATGGGATGGGATGGGATGAGAGGGATGGGGTGGGGTGGGATGAGATGGGATGGGATGGGATGGGATGAGAGGGATGGGATGGGATGGGAGGGGTGGGGTGAGATGGGATGGGATGGGGTGGGATGAGATGGGATGAGAGGGATGGGATGGGATGAGAGGGATGGGATGGGAGGGGATGGGATGGGATGGGAGGGGATGTGATGGGATGAGATGGATGGGATGGGATGAGAGGGATGGGATGGGAGGGGATGGGATGGGATGGGAGGGATGGGATGAGATGGGATGGGAAGGATGGGAGGGGATGGGATGGGATGGGAGGGATGGGATGGGAGGGGATGGGATGGGAAGGGATGGGGTGGGATGAGATGGGATGGGAGGGGATGGGATGGGATGAGAGGGATGGGATGGGAGGGGATGGGATGGGAAGGGATGGGGTGGGATGAGATGGGATGGGATGGGATGAGAGGGATGGGATGGGAGGGGATGGGATGGGAGGGGATGAGAGGGATGGGATGGGATGGGAGGGGATGAGAGGGATGGGATGAGAGGGATGGGATGGGAGGGGATGGGATGGGATGAGAGGGATGGGATGGGGATGGGATGGGAGGGGATGGGATGGGATGAGAGGGATGGGATGGGAGGGGATGGGATGGGATGGGAAGGGATGGGGTGGGATGAGATGGGATGAGAGGGATGGGATGGGATGAGAGGGATGGGATGGGATGAGAGGGATGGGATAGGATGAGAAGGGATGGGGTGGGATGAGATGGGATGGGAAGGGATGCAGTGGGAAGTGATGGGATGATAGGGATGGGATGGGAAGTGATGGGATGGGAAGTGATGGGATGGGAGAGCATGGGAGTGGATGGGAGGGATGGGATGGGAAGTGATGGGATGGAATAGCATGGCAGGGGATGGGACAGAATGGGGTGGGAAGTGATGGATGAGAAGGATGGGATCGGATGGGAAGGGATGGGATGAGAGGGGTGGGATGGGATGGGATGGAAAGTGATGGGATGGGAAGGGATGGGATTGGTTGCTGCATCCTGCTTGTTTGATATCTTTACCAATGGCTGGGATGAGGGGATTGAGGACATTCGTGGTCAGTGTGAAGACGACACCAAGTTGGGTGGGAGCTTTGAGCTGCTGGAGGGGAGGAGGTTCCACAGAGGGATCTGGATGCATGGGGTGAAGCCAATGGGATGAGGTTCAGCAAGCAAAGTGCCCGGTCCTGCACTTGGGCTGCAACAACCCCATGGAATGCTCCAGGCGGGAAGCACAAGAAGGACCTGGGAGTGTTGGTCAACAGCCAGCAAGTGACCCCCCTCATGCCCAGGGCCAGAGGAGGCCACGGGGACACGGTTGGGTGGTGCTGGTTGGAGCGGGTGACGCTGCAGCAGCTCCGAGGGCGCTGACGCGCTGCCCGTGCGGTGCTGCAGGGGTGTCGGTGTCGGTGTCCACGTTCAGCCTGGTGGCCATCGCGCTGGAGCGCTACAGTGCCATCTGCAAGCCGCTGCAGTCGCGGGCCTGGCAGACGCGGTCGCACGCGTGTCGCGTCATCGCGGGCACGTGGCTGGCGGCGGCGCTGCTCATGGTGCCCTACGCCGTGTACAGCACCACCCGCTCCGCAGCGCGCGGCGTGAGGCCCCTCACCACCCAGTGCACCCATCGCTGGCCCAGCGAACACGTGCGCCAAGGCTGGTGAGAGCCGGGTGCAGGGATGGGAGCATGGAGCAGGGGTGGCAATGGGAGTGGGATGAGATGGGAATGGGATGGGGATGAGGTGGGGTAAATTGGGAATGGGGTGGGATGAGATGTGATGGGGATGGGATGGGGGTGAGTTAGGATGGGGATGGGATGAGTTGCGGAAGAGATGGGATCAGATAGGGACAGAATGATATGGGATGGAATGAGATGAGGTGGGGGATGAGCATGGGGATGGGATGAGACACAAGCGGTGCTGCACCCCCAGGTACATCCTGCTGCTGCTCATCCTGTTCTTCATCCCGGGTGTGGTGATGATGGTGGCCTACGGGCTCATTTCCCGTGAGCTCTACCGGGGCATCCGCTTCGAGCTGGACATCAAAGGGGATGCTGCAGGTGAGGGGCTGCTCACACAGACCGCAGTGGGTCCCCACAGTGCCATGGCCACGACCGTGTCCCTCCTGCCCCACAGCTCACCATGGTGGCGGTGGGGACGAGGCATCCCCTGCCTGTGACGAGGGTGACGGGTGCTACCTGCAGCTGTCCCGCCCGGGCGCCGCACTGGAGCTGAGGGCGTTGGGCACGCAGCAGGACCGTGCACGCGTCAACAGCTCAGAGGCCAAGCTGGTGGCCAAGCGGCGCGTGATCCGCATGCTGGTGGTGATCGTGGCCATGTTCTTCCTGTGCTGGCTGCCCATCTTCTCTGCCAACACGTGGCGCGCGTTCAGCCCGCGCGCAGCTCAGCGGGCGCTCTCGGGGACGCCCATCGCCTTCATCCACCTCCTGTCCTACACCTCGGCCTGCGCCAACCCCCTCATCTACTGCTTTATGAACCGGCGGTTCCGCGCCGCGTTCCTGGCCACATGCTGCTGCCGGCACCGTGCCTGCCCGCGCCGTGCGCGCCACGACGAGACGGCCGCTGCGGCCACCAGCGCCTCACTCTCCAAGTTCAGCTACACCACGGTCAGCAGCATCGGCCCCCCGTGAGCCGCAGCAACACCGACGGCACTGGCAGCATCCCTATCCACAACCTCATCCCCATCCCTATTCCCATCCTTGTTCTCATCCCCATCCCCATTCCCATCCTTGTCCTCATCCCCATCCCCTCTCATTCTGTCTCACCCCATCCCTATCCCCATCCTCGTCCCGTCTCATCCCCATTCCCACCCCATTCCATCCCTGCCCCAGGTTGATGGTTCAGGGTTTGGGGGTTCTGGAGCCCCCAGCCCAGCTCCAGGTCCCCCCACACTGATCCTGGCTCCAGCTGGAATAAATTCTCCCTGTGCCGATGCTTCCCACTGTGCTCAGCACAGCCAGTATCAGAGGGCCGGGGCTGGGGTGGGATGGGGAGCCCGCAGCAGGGGCGGTGGATCCATGCCCGGCCTGGGGGATGACTCCGTATGGGACAGGCACTGCACCGGCACTGGGGTGCACCACGTGTTTCCAGCCATGTGTCCCACCAGAATTCCCTCTCCTCCCGGTGGCTCCGGCCGCACCGTGTCCAGCGGAGCGGGACTGGACGGAACCTGCCGCACACACACGTGACATACATGTGTCATACATGTTTCACACAGCCACACACATGTACACGCGCAGGGAGCAGTAACACCTCCCGCCCGCCAGGGGGCACCACCCCACGCAGCCGCTGCTGGACTACACTTCCCACAATGCCCAGGGGCACGGCAGCTCCCGCCACGCCCCCGAGTCCCCGCCCTCTGTCAGCGGAAGCCCCGCCCCCTATCACCGGAGCGCCCCCGCCGGCGGCGTCGTCCCTGGGCCATGGCGGCCCCGGCGCGGCCCCGGCCGCGGTCCTGGTCGTTGGTCGCGGCGCTGTCGCTGTCGCTGTCGCTGCTGTCGCTGTCGCCAGTGTCGGCGGGGCCTCAGGACCCGCTGCTGGCCGTGGCGCCGCGCTGGGGCTGGCGGAACGTGTCGTGCCCCGTCTGCCGGGCGCTGTTCGGGGCGCTGGACGTGGCGCTGCAGGTGGGGATGGGGACGGGACGGGTCGAGAACGGGGACGGGAACAGAAACGGGAACCAGAACGGGAACGGGACAGGAGAACTGGAACCGGGACACCGGGTCAAGGGCACCGGCACCGGGACAAGGGGACGGTTGTGGGGCCACCCGGTCCGAGACGGGGCCAACAGGGGCGGCACCGGGACGGGGACCGGGTCAGGAACGGGGCGGGGACACTGGGACTGGGGACACTGGGACCAGGGACACTGGGACCAGGGACACCTGAATGGGGACAGGGACGGGGGCACAAGCTGGGGACGGGGGCACCGTGTCTGGTGTCAGCGACAGGGACTGGGACGGGGGCACCGGAAGCGGGACGGGGACAGGGGCGGGGACGGGGCGGGCGGGGTGGGACGGGACCGAAATAGGGACACGGACGGGGCGGGGGCACCAGGACGGGGGCAGCGGGACCGAGAAGGGGACGAGGGCGGGGACAAGGATGGGAACAGGACAGGGACAGAGCGGAGCTCCGGGACCCGCAGGGGATGGGGACACGGACAAGGGCGGGGACAGACGGACGGGATGGGGCGGGATTGGAGCGGGAGGCGGGACCTCGTGACGGGGCCGGGACGCTGACTTGTGACAGGCACGGGACAGGGACTGGAACAGGGGCGGGATCAGGGACGGGACAGGGACAGAGGGGATGGGGACAGGGGCAGGGAGGGGGCACCGACAGTGGGGACACTGGTATAGGGACAGAGACCGGGACGGAGCAGGGGCACAAGGACCGGGACAGGGACAGTGGCACTGGAATCGGGACAGGGACAGACATGATGGGGAGGGGATGGATCAGGAGTAAGGACAGGGCTGGAGCACATCATGGATTGTGACAGGCACAGGACCGGGGTGGGCACGGGAATGGGATGGGGACGGGGACGGGGATGAGGACAGTTCCACACAGAGAGACAGTGCCAGGTCAGGCACAGGCTCCTTCCCCAGAACGGGAAGTGGGAACAGAGGGATTGGGGTCCCCCAGCACTGGGATTTCAAGCCAAGGGGCTCATGGTGGCCACTGCTGTGTTGGGTGATGGTATCCCTTGGGTGGTGACATTCATTGCGTGATGACATCCATTGGGTGATGGCATCCCCCTGGTGATGACATCCATTGGGTGATGACACCCATTGAGTGATGACATCCACTGGGTGATGACACCCACTGGGTGATGGCACCCATTGGGTGATGGCATCCATTGGGTGATGGCATCCTCCTGGTGATGACATCCATTGGGTGATGGCATCCACTGGGTGATGGCATCCATTGGATGATGGCAGCCTGGTGACAGGTCCCGTGTCCCCGCAGCTGGAGCCCACGGTGTCGCGCGTGGGGCGCGTGGCGTCGCGGCTGTGCCAGGACCTGCGGCTGGCGCGCGCCGAGGTTTGCCGCGAGGCCGTGCAGCTCTTCCAGCGGGACGTGGTGTCGGCCTGGGCGCGCTCGGTGCTGCGGCCGGCCGAGGCCTGCGGGCTGCTGCTGGGGCCCCGCTGCGGCCACTGGGACATCCTGGGCGACTGGAACGTGTCCCTCCCGGACACCCCGAAGCCGCCGGTGCGGCCGCCGGAGCCGCCGGCGCCGGGCGCTCCCAGTGCGCGCATCCTGTTCCTCACGGACCTGCACTGGGACCGGCTCTACGCGCCCGGCAGCGCCGCCGCCTGCCCCGACCCGCTCTGCTGCCGCGGCGCCGCGCGTCCCGGGGCCCCCAGCGCCGGCTTCTGGGGGGAGTACGGGAAGTGCGACCTTCCGCTGCACACCATCGAGCTGCTGCTGGAGCAGCTCCCCGCCGCCGCGCCCGTGGCCGCCGTCTACTGGACCGGGGACATCCCGGCGCACGACGTGTGGCAGCAGAGCCGGCGGGACCAGCTGCGCGCCCTCAGCACCGTCACCGCGGCGCTGCGGCGGCGCCTCGGCACCGTGCCCGTGTTCCCGGCCGTGGGCAACCACGAGGCGACGCCGGTGAACGCCTTCCCCCCGCCGTACGTCCGGGGCAACCAGTCGGCAGCGTGGCTCTACGATGCCATGGCCCGGGAATGGCAGCAGTGGCTGAGCCCTGACGCGCTCCAGACCCTGCGGTGGGACACGGGATGGGATGGGAGGGAGATGGGGATGGGGGGGGTGAGATGAGGGCACAACAGGGGACCTGGGATGGGGGAGTCCAGGCGGGGAGGGACCGGGAGACATGGGGCTGGGGGAGTTAAGCCTGTTCGTGCAGGGGTGAGTCCTGATCTTAGGAGGGCTGAGGGTCCTCGGCTGGGGGAGATTGTGGAGTTCAGTAGGGAGGCTCTGGGGTGGGAGGGCACAGAGTAGCTTCCATACTGAGAGGGGCAAAGGGGGTCTCAGGCTAACAGGGTCTTGGGGGGCTCAGGCTGGGCACAGAGGGGTCACTGTGGATCAGGGGGGTCACTGTAAGGCAGGAGGGTCTCTGTGGGGCGGGGGAATCTCTGTGGATCGGGGGGTCCCTGTGGGGCAGGAGGGGTCCCTGCTCACGCCCCGCTGTCCCCCCAGGGCCGGGGGGTTCTACACGGCCCAGGTCTGGCCGGGGCTGCGCCTGGTGTCCCTCAACATGAACTTCTGCTCCCAGGCCAACTTCTGGCTTCTCATCAACGCCACCGACCCCGCGGGGCAGCTCCAGTGGCTCGTGGGAGTCCTGGCAGCCGCTGAGCATGCAGGGGACAAGGTTGGGATGAGGATGGGCACGGGGGGGGGGTGGGGGTGTCCCTGCCCCCAGCGGGTCCCGGCACCCCCCGGCTCCCCTCTCCTCACCGTAGGTGCACATCATCGGGCACATCCCCCCGGGCCATTGCCTGCGGAGCTGGAGCTGGAACTACTACCGCATCGTCAGCAGGTGGGCGCAGGGGACCCTGCCGGGAATCAGGGGTGCTGTGCCAGGGGGCCGGGCACTGCTGTGGGGTCCCTGTGTGTCACACATGTCTTGGTGCAGGTTCGAGGGCACTATCGCAGGGCAGTTCTTTGGCCACACACACGTGGATGAGTTCGAGATGTTCTACGACGACGAGACACTGACTCGGCCCGTGTCCATTGCCTTCATAGCCCCGAGTGTCACCACCTACATCAACCTCAACCCCGGTGGGTGCTGAACCCTCAACACACCCCCATGGTGCCACCGTGTGATCATGGACATGCCTTGACATGAACCGTGACCCTGACTGTTATGATGGCCGTTGGCCATGATCATTACCTTGATTATAGCCATGACCTTGACCACAGCCATCGGCCATGACCATTGCCATTACCTTTGCTATGACCATTACCTTGACAATGTCCATTACCTTGACCATCATGCCCATTGGACATGACCTTGAGCATGATCATTACCTTGACCGTGCCCACTGCACTTGACCCTGACCATGCCAATGCCGATGTCTGTGCCCACAGGCTACCGCGTGTACGTGGTGGATGGCTCCTACCCAGGCAGCTCCCACGCGGTGCTGGACCACGAGACCTTCATCCTGAACCTGACAGAGGCTAACACACAGGGAGCCGTGCCGCACTGGCAGCTGCTGTACCGCGCACGTGAGACCTACGGGCTGCCCAGCGCCTTCCCGGCCGACTGGGACCGGCTGCTCCGGCGCTTCCAGGATGATGAGCAGCTCTTCCAGCGCTTCTGGTTCCTGCTGCACAAGGGCCACCCGCCACGGGCGCCGTGTGGGGCTGGCTGCAAGGCAGCGCTGCTCTGCGCCCTGCGCTCCGGCCGCTCTGATGATCCCGGCCTGTGCCGGCCCCTGCGCCCCACACTGCCCTTCGCACGCATCCAGCAGCTCTGGCGGCAGCGGCGGCTCTGCTGAGCACCAGGATGTGGGACACAGGACATGGGGCTCTGCTGAGTGCTGGGACATGGGGTGTGGGGTGCGGGCCATGGGATACAGGACACAGAACATGGGGCTCTGCTGAGCACCGGCATTCAGACATGGGATGCAGGATGTGGGATGCAAGACACGGGACATGGGGCTCTGCTGAGTGCTGGGACTGGGCACCAGGGCGGCAACATGGGACACCTCATTGCCATGTGCCATCAATAAAGGTGTGACAGACCCAGCACCTCCTCATCAGCATCCACCTCATCCCCATCTTCATCCTCCTCCTTGTCATCATCATCCACCTCCTCCTCTGCATCCCACATCACTCCTCAAGTTTATCCTCATTGTCCTCATCCCCACCTGGCCACAGGACCTCCCATTCCCCTCCCAGTGCCACCGGTACCGGTACCAGTACGGTGCAGAAGTGACGCCGGTACGGGCACAGGGAAGGATTGTTCCACCCAGCACAGCACAGGATGGAGCAGGATGGGACAGCGCAGTGTGGTGTGGCACAGGACAGCACAGCGGGTGTGAGGTGCAGCAGTGCAGCATGGCGTGGGACAGAATGACACAGACTGGCACAGAATGGCACAGCATCCTACAGCATGACGTGGTGTGTGTGGCACAGGGCAGCAGGGAGTGCGCTGGAGCAGTGCAGTACGGCACAGCCCCACATGGCACTGACAGGGATGGTGTGGCACTGATGGGCCAGAGGAGCATGGGGCATTGCGACAGGGCACAGATGGGACAGCACAGCACAGCACCAGGGCACAGCAGAGCACAGCACAGCACATGTAGCAGCAGCACAGGGCAGCCCCGCACAGCCCCGCCGCACAGCCCGGTACAGCCGGGTACAGCCCCGCACAGCTCGGTACAGCCCCGCACAGCCCGGTACAGCCCCGCACAGCCCGGTACAGCCCGGTACAGCCCCGCCGCACAGCCCGGTACAGCCCCGCACAGCCCGGTACAGCCCGGTACAGCCCCGCACAGCCCGGTACAGCCCCGCCGCACAGCCCGGTACAGCCCCGCACAGCTCGGTACAGCCCCGCACAGCCCGGTACAGCCCCGCACAGCCCGGTACAGCCCGGTCGGTACAGCCCCAGCCCCGCCGCACAGCCCGGTACAGCCCCGCACAGCCCGGTACAGCCCCGCACAGCCCGGTACAGCCCCGCCGCACAGCCCGGTACAGCCCCGCCGCACAGCCCGGTACAGCCCCGCCGCACAGCCCGGTACAGCCCTGCACAGCCCGGTACAGCCCCGCCGCACAGCCCGGTACAGCCCCGCACAGCCCGGTACAGCCCCGCCGCACAGCCCGGTACAGCCCTGCACAGCCCGGTACAGCCCGGTACAGCCCCCCACAGCCCGGTACAGCCCCGCACAGCCCGGTACAGCCCGGTACAGCCCCGCACAGCTCGGTACAGCCCCGCACAGCCCGGTACAGCCCGGTACAGCCCGGTACAGCCCCGCACAGCTCGGTACAGCCCCGCACAGCCCCGCACAGCCCGGTACAGCCCCGCACAGCCCAGTACAGCTCCGCACAGCCCAGCCTGGCACAGCAGAGCCCGGCACAGCCCGGCTGGGGTCGCTGTGTGTCGGGGCCGGGCTCCCCCCGCCGTGCTGCCGGTGCAGCCCCGATGTTCGGTTGTCGCTCAGCAGCGCTCACCTAACCGGGGTTGTGCGGTGCCTCCCGCTCTGCAGCGAGGGCGGCACCAGGAGCCAGAGCAGCCGGGACCTGGACAGGGACAGGGACCGGGACCGGGACGGGGACAAGGACGGGAACCGGGACAGGGGCAGGGATAGGGACGGGGACAGGCGCAGGGGCAGGCAGGGACAGGGATGGGGACCGGACCCCACCCAGCCAAAGGCCGCTCTGCACCGCATCCCGTCACTGGGACACAACCAGGGCTCACCGGAGGGGCCGGGCTGGGCCAGGGCCACTCAGGGGTGTGGGGCTGTGGATTGGGCACGGCGGCAGGAGTGGGTCCATCCCCCAGAGCTCCAGTTTCTCCATACACTGGTCCCAGACCCACGTCACTGATGTCACATTGTGACCACCACCATCTCCATCATCCTCATCATCGCCACCATCTCCACCATCCTCATCATCGCCACCATCTCCATCATCTTTGTCATCGCCGCAATCTCCATCCACTGCTCCATTCACTGAACTGCTCGGCTTAGTCCACACATGTGGGGACACACAGCACAGACCATCCCAGTGCAGCAGCCCAGGGCAGCCCAGTACAGCCCTGTGCAGCTCAGTACAGCCCACTGCAGCCCTGTGTGCCCCACTGCAGCCCAGTACAGCCCTGTGCAGTCCAGTGCAGCCCAGTACAGCCCTATGTAGTCCAGTACAGCCCTATGTAGCCCAGTACAGTCTTGTGCAGCTCAGTACAGTCCAGTGCAGCCCAGAGGTCCTTATGTGGTCACCCTAGTACAGGGCCCCCACCCCCAACTTCACTCCAGTGACACCCAGTGAAGGTGGAGACCCCTCTGCACTGCTCCACACAGACCCCCCCCGAGCCCCACATCCCTCCCGCCATGGGGCTGGCACTGCTGGGGGTACTTCCAGAATACTTTATTTTGTACATAGAGTTTGTCAGCGTGCGGCCGCCCCACAGAGCCCCATAGAGACCCACAGAGCCCCATAGAGACCCACTGAGTCCCACCAAGCCCCGTAGAGCCCCACCGACCCCATAGAGCCCCACATGGACCCACCAGGCCCCACTCGGCCCCATAGGGCTTCACCAAGCCCCACCAGGACCCACAGAACCCCACCGTGGGGCAGCAGGCACGTGCGGTCGCCCCACATCTGGGGCTCAAGCCACGGGGGGCAGCTCCCATGGGGCAACCCACAGCCGCCCCTCAGCCCCCAGCAGCGGCTCCCTCAGCCCCCCCCCAGGTCCCCCAGTTGTGGGGCTGTGGCCCTGCCATGGGGCAGGAGGAGAGGCACGACCATGGACCCCAGATAAAGTGCACATGAAGGCCGGGGTGGCATCTGTGGGGCAGCCCCAGCCCGTGCCATGGGGCAGCCCCAGCCTGTGCTATGGGGTGGCCCCAGCCTGTGCTGCGGTGCTACTGCAGGTAGCGATAGGCCTTGAAGCAATGGTTGCCCGAGTCTGCCACCACGACGTGGCCATCGGAGGTGAGGGCCAGGCCCTGCGGCCCATATAGAGGATCCGCTGCTGTGTTGATGTAGGACAGGAAGGAGCCCGAGGAGTCAAACACCTGCGGGGACAGGGACAGGCTCCAGTGCCCCCAGTGTCCCCACAGCCCAGGACAACCCTATCTCCATGGGCTCCCCTGCCATGGGGTCCTGGACCGCGTCCCTGCTGCGATGAGCCCACTCTGGGGCCACAAACCCCACTCCTGCATGGGCTGAAGGATGGGATGAGTGCAGGGATGAGGCTGGGATGGAGGTGATGGGATGAGGACAGGGATGAGGCTGGGATGGAGGTGATGGGATGAGGGCAGGGATGAGGCTGGGATGGAGGTGATGGGATGAGGACAGGGATGAGGCTGGGATGGAGGTGATGGGATGAGGACAGGGATGAGGCTGGGATGGAGGTGATGGGATGAGGGATGGGATGAGGGGCAGGGATGAGGCTGGGATGGAGGTGATGGGATGAGGGCTGGGATGAGGCTGGGATGGAGGTGATGGGATGAGGGCAGGGATGAGGCTGGGATGGAGGTGATGGGATGAGGGCAGGGATGAGGCTGGGATGGAGGTGATGGGATGAGGACAGGGATGAGGCTGGGATGGGGGTGATGGGATGAGGGCAGGGATGTGGGTGAGTACGGGGCCAGAGGGTCAGTACCTGGATGCGGCTGTTGCCCCAGTCAGCCACGATGATGTTGCCGTTGGCATCCACGGCCACCCCGGTGGGGGCGTTGAACTGGCCATTGCCCTCCCCGTGAGAGCCGAACTTGAACAGGAACTCGCCGTCTGCGCTGTAAACCTGGAGGGGGGTCACTGCCCAGCACCAGCACCGCACATGGGACACAGGACACGGGACACGGCACTGGCACCGGCACACGGGACATGGGATGCAGGATGTGCGACACAGGATAGGGGACACAGGACACAGCACATGGGACACGGGGACATGGTACGTGGCACATGGTACATGGCACACCGTGCAGAGAACACACCACACGTGATGTGGCACACGGGATGCAGAACATGGCATGCGGCACATGGCATGCAAGACGTGGGACATAGGACACAGGACACAGGATATGGCACACAGGACATGGCACATGGCATACCGGACACCATTACTCACCTTCACAGAGTGGTTGTGGAAGTCGGTCACCACAATCTCATTCTTGTTGTTGACGGCCACAAAGTGGGGCCCTAGGAGGGACAGGGAGAGTGAGTGAGTACCACGGGCAGCCAAGGGTGGCTGGGGGGGACACAGCAAGACCCAGAGACTCAACAGAGCCCAAACCTGAGCCAGGAACTCAAAACAGCCCAAACCCAGAACCATGAACAGAACCTAAACCATGAATCCAAATTGCAAATCCCAGTCTAGAATCTGACCCTAAGACCTGAACCACAACTGGAACCCAGTCCAGAGCCACCAAGAGCCTGAGCCCAGAAACTGAATCCAGAGCTCAGAACTTGAACTTGGACCCTGAGCCCAGCTGCAGCCCCTGCCCCTGCCCTGGGGCTGTCTGGGGCTGCCCAGGGCACACACTGAGGGGCACAAAGTGATGAACGCACGGTAATGGGCATGTGATGATGGGCACATGGTGATGGGCACGTGGTGATAGGCACGTGGTGATGGACACATGGGGATGGACATGCATTGAGGAGCATGTGGTGAGGAGCACAGCAGGGCTGTGGCTCGTACCTGCGAACTGCCGCTCGGCTGTGCCACGGCTGCCGAACTTGGTGACCAGTTTGCCGTTGGACTGGAAGATGAAGACGCAGCAGGCCTTGTTGTCCACCACGATGATGTGCCCGTTGCGATCCACCGCAACGCCCTTGGGGCCCATCAGCCGCCCAGCACCCAGCTTGGTCTGGGATGGGAACAGGGCCAGGAGTCAGGGTCGGTGTGGAGCTGTGTCCCCCCTGCTGCTGTGTGCCCCCCTCACCTCACCTTGAACTTGCCCTCGGGGGAGAAGATGCTGACCCAGCGGTTGTCGTAGTCGGCGATGATGATGTCCCCGTTCATGTCGACAGTGACACCGGTGGGGCGCTGGAGCTGTCCAGGGGAGCGGCCCCGCACCCCA